AAGGACTACAACAGTTTGTCGAGTAAGTTACTTTGAGCCGAGCTGACCTCGTAAATCCGAACTCGCGTCATTTTGCCCTCGCGGGAATATGACAGTCCGAGCTGGACGACCTCCGAGGTCGGTGTCAACAAAACCTTTTATTATAGTTCTCAACAATTCCATTCATTCAAATCTCTATTAAATTACCACATTTTCTTTCACTATATTACCTATGGTTTCTTTTTTATTTTATTAATTTATATAAGTTTTTCCCTTCATTTTCTAAATTCTTGTAATCATAGTTCTCAAAACCAACCTAGTCGTTGGCGCGATAGAATTTTTGAGTGGGTCACTGATTCATTGTCGATTTTAAACTTTAGCTAAAATACATTCTTTTCAAAATAAAATACGATTAATAATAATATAAATAAAGATGACTTGTAACTAGAAAAAAATTCATATAATTATTTATCATCCAAGTCAAGTAAAGTATTTTAGCCTGTTTGGTGTAGATTAAAATTAAATTTTAGTAGATTTTATAAAAAAAATTATGAAATGCGTGATTGAAAAATTGTGAATTCAATAAAATACAAAACATGTTATTAAAATTGTTGACTTCGACTTTAAACTTTTATCAACTTATCTACACCAAAGAGAGACCATTCATATTATGTTAAAATTGTGTTGAATTAGCCAAATAATAGTCCTATAAAGTACTAGATTCAATATAATAATCTTTCAATTATAAAAAAATAATGGAAGTGGTGAAGTCATGTTCTATAAATTTCCAGTCAAAATAGTTAATGAGAGCCCAGATTAGAAAGTTACAAATTACAATTTTTTATTTTTTATTAATGTTGATATGGATAAGACAAAAAAAATAATAATAATAATTAAAAAAAATATATATATATTATTTTATTGAAAAATGTGTTATTGAAAATGAGTTTTGAAATAATGTATTTTTAAATTACTTGGGTTAAACAAGGGCCAGTAAGAAAAAATTCATAGGTAATACGTTCGGCTTCTGCAAGTGAGAAAGCACTAACAGTAGTCATTGACATTACCGACAATATTATCCGCGATAAGTGCGAGACCTTAATCACTTTTTGTTAAAATAAAAAATCATTGGACATTCTAAAGTTTGATCATCCAAAAATATAAAACAAAAAATTAAAGATATGTTCTTTTTGCTGTTTTCAGATTATTTTCAATTTTCAGTTTCAGAAAACATGTTTACTTATCTATTTTCATAAAAGAATTTTAAAAAACGAGTTTAAAATTTACACGGAAAACACCAAAAAAATCGTTTTGATTGCTTTCAGACTATTTTCAGTTTTCAGTTTCAGAAAACACGTTTACTTATCTATTTTTAAAAATGAATTTTCAAAAAGGAGTTTAAAATTTACACGAAAAACGTCGAAAAAATCGTTTTGATTGTTTTCAATTAAAACTAAGCCAAAACGCTAAAAACGCGAAAAACAACCAAAATTTGCCAATGGCGGGATAGTTTAGTTGGCAGAGTTATGAATTTTTTGAAGGTCACGAGTTTGATTCCGTTTCACCGCAGTTCAATACAAATGAATTTTCTTTTTATATGCATAGTACAAAATTCTTCAAATAAAATTGGTAGGTGACTGAAATTTGAACCAGGGTCACCAGCATGAAATTTCAATGCCTTAACCACAATGACAGCCATTTTTGGTTTCTTATATAAGTAAAAGAACTATATATATAAAATAATCGATTTTTCAGTTTTTCAAAATTAGAAACTAAATGCGTTTTTTATTTTATTTATTTAATTTTTGAAAACGATTTTTCAAAATGACAAAAAGAAAGCGTTTTCAGCCATCTCAAAATGGACACTCAGAACATAAAACTCAAAAATGAATTTATAACTAAAAACTGAAATACGAAGACAACATTCCCTAACTTTCTTGATAACAAACTTATGTATTGTTGGGATCTGTAACTGAGAATTATATTATTAACTACAACAAAGAAGTATTCAAAGTAGGTGATAGATTAATGGAATTATTAACTAAACTAAAATATTTAACATGTTTTACAAGGTTTACCTATATCGTGAAAGGATTTTGCTACGTGTACATTGAGAGTTGCATGACATACAAGTGGCATCATGTGATTGGTTGGTGGATAATGTCACTTGTATATTATGTAATCATGAATATAACATTTGATGTACAAGTAGAAATATTCATCATGAAATATATGAAAAGACATGTGAAACCCAAACAACAATCTAACACACTTTGGTAAATCAATTATGATAGATGTACATCATCTTTTATATTATTGTTTAAATTGTGCTACGTAATAACACGCAATTGGACAGTTAAAAAAACATTTTTTTCGTTCACAATTTTTTTTAAAATAAAGAGGATGTCATCCTCAATGTAAGGAAAAAACTGTACAAGTAGCATTATTGTTGGTAAATTCAATTAAAATATAGTTAAACTGATTCAGCAATTCTATATTCCTACTTTGGTGTATAAATAACTAATCTTCAATTCTATAAAAGTTTGCAGAGTGAGCGCACTTGTACGGTAGCTCTTTCCCGCCATCCTTTCAATTTATAAACTCGTTGTTACTCGCAATCATTTGCTTCATATCATACACCGTAAACCCCGAAATGCACTCTCATCAACATTACAAAATTCAAGAGTTTGTGAGGTAACTCTATCCAAATCAAAATCTTGACCATGCGTAAGGTGAAATGCTAGTCACTTCATTAAGACCCAATCATAGTCCAAATAGAATGAATATTCGTCTAATGGATTAAACCTTGGCCGAAAAATTGAAATCGTAGGTATCGTGAAACGTCAGATTTACATTTTTGGTGAAAAAAGTTTCAAGGGTGGGTGGTCAGAATTTCTTCGAATATGTTTTTGAATTCATTCGAGATGTGAGTAAAACTCAAATTGGAGAAAAATATGACCCTTCGGTTCCGTCCTCCAATCCCTAATTAACCACAAGGATTAAGACTCAACGATAGTCCACACAGCATGAATAGTCGTATGTATTGACGAGAACATATTTCCAGTTGCTTGTTCTTCACTAAATTAATCTTGTGGTGCTTCAACAATTCGATTAATTCAAGGTCGTGGAGATCTTTATTCGACGTCAAATTTCAAAAATTAAACTCCCAATATGTTGAGAAATTCAATCCCTAAATTTGGGAGGTTTCCTTGGGCATTGAACAACGTGAGATCAAACTGAATGATTTTCAAAGTATAAACATTTTTCTTCATCATCAACATTGATTGTTGTGTCGTTGAAAGAAGTGTGTCGACGGACCAGCTCTAAATCTCTTTTTATTTTGTTTTGTTTCCATGTTTTCAACTAAATCACATTTAAAAAATAAACAGGACGATAAATAAAGATATTTTAGTCTGCAACCTCGTTTAACTCCTACCTTATCCCGACTCACTTCTTGAAAATCCTCGACGGGATGGGGACAAGGATGGCCACTCCAACCCAACTCTGTCTGTTGCCATCCCTATACACATGTATTAATACATTGAAGATAAAATTTAACTTAGTTCTCATAGTATTTTGACGATTATAGTTAACCTAAATTATGCATTTTTTTCATGGTCACTGATTGGTTCATGTAATGGTCTCTGACTCTATCATGTACTTGGAAATTAAGGATTTTCATTAGTAAATTATTTATAAAGGATTTTTTAATAAGCAAGATAAATAACAAAGTCTCGTGCTTATAGAATATTGTCTACGTTAGTTTTTCTTTAAAAGAATATCTTCATTCGTATCTGGATTTAAACATATTTATTATTTCTTTTGACTGATTTTGTCTTTCATATACACACAAACATTTGAAACTGCCAATTAAGTATTTATTATACTGTACAGAGAAATATAATATCTGAAAATATCAAACAGAAAAATAGAAATGTTGACAAAAATTTAGTTATATCGCTATCCATCATGCTTCGTGTCATTATACTTTCGTATAATTATATCACTATCCGTCGTACTATGATTTATGTGAATATGATATGATATGATATCCACTACTACTAAAAGAGGGACGGGGCAGGAATTGGAGGAAAGTGGAGACTAGAAAAAGGTCTTCTTCCCAGAAAAAGGTTAGAACTTTGCAGCCAAAAAGAAAAAGAGAAAAGGCTAACTGGCTAAGGGACGAAAAGAAGAGAGAAGGAAGAAAGAAAAGAACAACACCCCGTGCTCCTTGTTCTAATTAATAGCTAAAAAATGTAGTTTCAACTCTGTTTTATTATAAAAAAATCTTCCTCGCCACACCGGAATAAAGCAACCCTCGAGAGAGAGAGAGAGAGTGGTCCCAGAAGAAACAACAATTGGAAGCACAAAGACAAATAAACTAAATACGAGTTGCATTACTGTGCTTTTGGTTGAAAGTGACAAACTTTAACCTAGACCAACACCATTGTTGCTCTTACCTTACTCTTGTGCTGCTGCCGAAGAATCGCGGCACCGTGGTCACGGTCTCGACTCTCGCAGACTCGTCGCCTAGGGCTCGAACAGGGAAGGAGGTGAGCAAAGCAGCAATGGGTTCATGTTGAAAGAGTGGGTAATGGACTAATGGGTATGGGTTCGGAGAAAGAGAGGGGTGTTGGAAAAAATAAGTATACAGCTGACTTTGGCATGATTTTTGAGTGGGACACGTTTGACTATTTTGAAAAATCAAGGTTAATTTGTGTTCTCCTTCGTGAGTACATCGAAGTCAGATGCTTACTTGTCAAAAATGATGCTCAGATGAATGAGAAATTGAGACTCAAAGTATGTCATNTCAAATTTCAAAAATTAAACTCCCAATATGTTGAGAAATTCAATCCCTAAATTTGGGAGGCTTCCTTGGGCATTGAACAACGTGAGATCAAATTGAATGATTTTCAAAGTATCAACATTTTTCTTCATCATCAACATTGATCGTTGTGTCGTTGAAAGAAGTGTGTCGACGGACCAGCTCTAAATCTCTTTTTGTTTTGTTTTGTTTTGTTTTCATGTTTTCAACTAAATCACATTTAAAAATTAAACAGGACGGTAAATAAAGATATTTTAGTCTGCAACCTCGTTTAACTCCTACCCTATCCCGGCCCACTTCTTGAAAATCCCGGACGGGATGGGGACAAGGATGGCCACTCCAACCCAACTCAGTCTGTTGCCATCCCTATACACATGTATTAATACATTGAAGATAATATTTAACTTGGTTCTCATAGTATTTTGACGATCATAGTTAACCTAAATTATGCATTTTTTTCATGGTCACTGATTGGTTCATGTAATGGTCTCTGACTCTATCATGTAATTGGAAAGGATTTTCATTTGTAAATTATTTATAATTTTTCTATCTGATTGAAGGTTAATGTGGGAAGTTGTAAATTTAAATTTAAAATTATAGAGACGTTTTCTTGATGAATATTAAAGTAATTCTTTATTAGGGAATAAAAAGATTTAGTTGTCGCTCATATTTTTTAATAAGCAAGATAAATAACAAAGTCTCGTGCTTATAGAATATTGTCTACGTTAGTTTTTCTTTAAAAGAATATCTTCATTCGTATCTGGATTTAAACATATATATTATTTCTTTTGACTGATTTTGTCTTTCATATACACACGATGACACGAACATATATATTATTTCAAACTGCCAATTAAGTATTTATTATACTGTACAGAGAAAAATGATATCTGAAAATATCAAACAGAAAAATAGAAATATTGACAAAAATTTTAATTATATCGCTATCCGTCATGCTTCGTGTCATTATACTTTCGTATAATTATATCACTATCTGTCGTACTATGATTTATGTGAATATGATATGATATATCCACTACTAAAAGGGACAGGGCAGGAGTTGGAGGCAAGTCGACACTAGAAAATGTCTTCTTCCCAGAAAAAAAAGGTTAAAACTTTGCAGCCAAAAAGAAAAAGAGAAAAGGCTAACTGGCTAAGGGACGAAAAGAAGAGAGAAGGAAGAAAGAAGAGAACAACACCCCATGCTCCTTGTCCTAATTAATAGCTAAAAAATGTAGTTTCAACTCTGTTTTATTATAAAAAATCTTCCTCGCCACACCAGAATAAAGCAACACTCGAGAGAGAGAGAGAGAGTGGTCCCAGAAGAAACAACAATTGGAAGCACAAATACAAATAAACTAGAGAGAGAGAGAGAGAGAGAGAGAGAGAGAGAGAGAGTGGTCCCAGAAGAAACAACAATTGGAAGCACAAATACAAATAAACTAAATACGAGTTGCATTACTGTGCTTTTGGTTGAAAGTGGCAAACTTTAACCTAGACCAACACCATTGTGGTCACGGTCTCGACTCTCGCGGACTCATCGCCTAGGGCTCGAACAGGGAAGGAGGCAAGCAAAGTAGCAACGGGTTCAGGTTGAAAGAGTGGGTAATGGACTAATGGGTATGGATTGGGAAAAAGACTAAAAGAGAGGGGTGTTGGAAAAAATGAGTATATAGCTGACTTTGGCATGATTTTTGAGTGGGACACGTTTGGCTATTTTGAAAAATCAAGGTTGATTTGTGTTCTCCTCCGTGAGTACATCGAAATCATTCTTTACTTGCCAAAATTGATGCACAGGTGAATGAGAAATTGAAGTTCAAAGTGTGCTACTTAAAATGAGTTTATGTTGGTGGGAAACTAAAAAAAAATTTGTC